TGTATAAATTTGAAAATCACAAGGCTCCAACACATTTAAATAAGCCCCTCATTACTCACACGCCAATCATAATTTGCATGTACACCCCCCTGCACAAACACTTAAGCCTGACATTGTCCCCAATGGAGCAAAGAGAAGGGTGGAACGAATTTACCAAATCGATTGGCGAGTGAAATTTAGATTGGAGATGGACAAGTTTCGAGGGAGAGAGAGCTTCACAATGAGATAAACACAAACACATATTCGCACAAGGCGAGGCTATTACACAATAACATTATTCAACATCACATAAACGAAAAACAAATACAACAGTAGTACTAGTCCAACACACGAAAAGAACGAACAAAGAGTCTAGAGTCAAAGTGGGAGAAAGAAGGTAGAAGTACTACAGTGCCAAAATGGCCCTAATGTGATGTCTACCCCTGGCGAGGAGGTGATGGCTGCCACTCGTCCTAAACCTCGATGCCTTGAACGTGGGAAGCTACACACGTGAATTGGCCCTCAAAGGAAGAGACTCGGGTCTCTAGGTCACCCAAGAAAGAAGATGGTACGGCTTTGGCTGATGATGAAGCCCTGTGATGGCCATGATGGCATGGTGGTGATGGTGCTCTTCATGGTGGCGATGGTGCCTCCTCAACAACAGGCCGGAGCAAAGCAGAAGGTTGGAGGCCATCGATGTACTCGATGCGTCGCTCAATATGAACCAGCTGCATATGGTGGAGTGTCTTCACCAGGAAGATCTTAGTCCTCCCCACCTTTGTGTAGTAGGTGGTGTCCACCCTGAAGTATTAGGCAAGTCTCGTGATGATTGGACCAAGGTGCATAGTTTAGACCTAAGGTCGACCCAATATCCTCAAGAAAGTAGTCACCACCACTGAACCCCAGTGAAGTGGCTCTCAGGGTCGACTCATTGTGCAAGGCCACTATCTTGCAAAGAGTGACCTATCCCCTAGCTAGGAGACTCGGGAACACTAAATGGGCCAGGTTCATATGGAGGATCCTCCACTGGGACAGTGGTGCCTGAACTACGTAGCTCTAGTGTGTCCCGCATGGAAGGGATGCTTTTGATCCTCTGGTAGGAAGATCGCATCAAACACCCGCTGGACATTATAGAGTGTATGCCCACTACGAGAGCGTCATGATACCAGAGTGAAGTCTCGAAGCTCCAGCCAATGTGTCGTAGCCTATGGTGTGGTGTACTCCTCCCAACACAAACTCAACATAAGGTTGGGCTCGCCGTCCTCGAGGCTACTCGTGCACAAAGGTGGAGTAGAACTCCAAGCACGGCTCCCAGTAGATGCGATCATCAAGTCTGGAAAGTATGTGCCACTATGGATGGGCAATAGCTGCTGAGATCGTAGCTCAACAATAGAACATGTCAAACAGGTCCAAGTCAAGGCTCTAATGGGGCCCTACATCCCCGTTCCTCCAAGACTCATATTGGTCCCCATAGATGAGGTGATTCACCTAATAGTTGATGTATGGATGCATTGGGTAAGTCATCCTGCAAAAACACCAAAAAACATGCAACATAAGTAGAAACAATCATTAAACAATCACAATGGGGAGAAAATCAACTCCCTCACACTTAGGTTCCTACATAAGTATCATGCCCTCATAGGATTTTCACAAGGTTAGATGACCAACATTTAAACTCAATCAACCCACAAGCACACCGGGGCATGAAACTAGGTGTTTCATATATCAACAAGGATGAAAATGCAAGCCTAGATCATGCCTCGATGACCACTATTCAACATGCTCAAAAGTGTATCAAGGTAAGCTAACACATTCAAAGCACACGGTGGGCATTTCCAATTTGAACATTATTCATGCAAAATATTGCCCACCAAGACTTAAACATCCAATCAAACACTTTAACAACATGAGATGCATCATCATTCATTGATTCCCTTGCATAATTTCATCATTCATACAAAAATTCCCAATTCTCCTCACCTAAGAACCCTAGATCCAATTCTCCAAAATTGAACTTTCAAAAGACGAGAACACACCTGGGACACAAGTAGGATCGAAGAGGAAGGTGAGGAGGTGGAGAGGGGATAAAAAAGGCCAAAAAACTGGCTAGATGGGGCTGTCGGAGCTTTGTCCGAAGCTCGTTGCAGTCTCACCGGAGGAAATTGCCGGCGACAAAATCAGTGGCAAACTTCCCCAAAATCGCATACTGTGATACTAATACACAAACCGTGATCTCAGCCACAAACAGTGAGTTTTGGGCTAACATCACTGTGCATTTAAAATTACGGGCTCCAACCCATGAAAATAACATCCGAAGTGTGATGTTTACAAATCGTAGGAAAATCTTGTCACATCACGGTTTGGATGTAATTATCATGGTTTGAGACCATGAATATTACATTGGAACCTTGATGTGTGCAAAAACAAGGAATTTCCACAATTCGCAAAATCAATTGATTCAACTATGTCCTAAACTCAAACACCACACATTCATCGACAAACAAACATCAACCATGGGCATGGTGATCATTAAAAACTCACACACTTGAATCTAACACACACAAGAAGAGAAAAAACGGAAAAGAAATACAAACTGACGTTTGGTTTCCTCCCAACAAGCATTTGTTTTATGTCCTTAGCCAGACGTTACGGATCATCATGCTTTATAACATGAGGCCATCAAGAGTGGAGCCGAAACATTCTCGGGCCGAGAATTTTCACCTCGAATCACCATTTCCCAAGGATGGCCTTCATAGCCACTTGCTTTCGCCTTGCCCTTGTTCTTAGTGCCAGGCAAGGCACGATTCATCTGTTGGCGCCACTACATCTTTTTAACTTCAGGTTTTGCACTCGCCTTCGAATCCTGCTTCACATCACCACAAACATGAGGAGTACAAGTGGGGTTTGTCTTGTAAGGCTTACCCCAACTAATAATAACCAATGTTCAAGAAGACGCTAGGTGCTATCTAGGCGAGGAGGCACTGCCCAGCGCCCAAGCTGATTAGTCGTTGCCTAGGTGAGATTAAACGTTGAAAAAAATAAAAAAAATATGATAGATAAGCCATATTCCAAAAAAACCTAAGTCGCCATAGCATTATTCATCCATTCATATACACATACAACCCTTTCCACAATCCTAAACATCCAAAGTCGCCGACCATGAGGAGTGATCTCGCTGCTGGTCGATGAGGGGGAGCGGCTAGTCGAATGGAAATGGGGAATAGAATAGGGTTTGGGATTTTCACTAAATCTACACTTCCTCTTTTATTAGTTGTTATGGGCGTCGCCCACCAGAGTGGAAACGCGCCTCTGAGTGCCTAGGCTCCAATAAGGCATTGTCCATGGAGATTAATCGTTTAGCACGCCTATATCAATCGCCCAGGGCTAGACGGGGGAAATTTCCTCCTTCCCAGCTATTAATCGTGCCTAGGCGAGAGATTAATCGCGTCTTCTTGAACACTAACAATAACACCATTCGATTCTATCCCATCCACATAAGCAAGTTTATCACTTGGATCAACTGAAAAGGTGATACTCTCCTAACCATCTCTTAAAATCAATGTTTCCTCATTCACATCAATTATTGTCTTGGCGGTGGCTAGGAAAGGTCGTTCTAGTATGAGGGACATGTCGCTATCCTCACAAATATCCAGGATAACAAAATCCATTGGATAATAAGACTTGCCCACTTGAACTAGACAATCCTCCACTTTGCCTCTAGGATGAATCACAGAACGATCAACCAATGTAACACTCAACCTAGTGGATTTCAATTCACCTAGGTCTAACTTCTTGTAAAGCTTGTATGGTATGACATTGATGCTAGCTCCTAAATCCGCCAAGGATTTCTCTATATGAAATGTTCCAATGCAAAGGGGAATAGTGAAGCTACCTGGATCCTGTTATTATTGAGGAAACTTGTTCTGCATGATGGTCGAGCACTCCTTGCTCAGAGTGACTGAGACGAGGTCTTCGAATTTATGATTCTTCATGAGAAGCCCCTTGATAAACTTCACATACCTCGACATTTGCGCCACTACTTCCAAAAAGGATCTGAGATGTTGAGCTTGTTAAGCATCTCCATAAATTTCTCAAACTCCGCCTCCAAACGTTTATAGAATCGTGAACTTGATCGATGTGACATCGGGTCAAGGAATCTTGCTATGAGGAGGCTAGTTGCATGAATATTGAGCTAGCCCCACTTTGATGGGTCCCACACGTTATTACCTCAAACCCGGCATTATAAACCATATGCATGATAGACCTAGATCTAGGGCGAGGGTGGTACCCCGATGTACCGGCTTTTATCTTTGATTTCTAGGTCTATCATGCGTACGCAACATAGGGTGGTACCCCGATAATATTCTCTTCAAAAATCGTTAACTTCTTTGTGCGTACGCAACATCACTCACGTATGTGCATCTCCCATATTTTTTCCTTGTAGGGCATTGCTTGTCATGCACAAAATAGTTGACAAAGAAGATGTCTACTTGTATTTTTGGTAGCTCCCCTCTCATTATGTAAGCAATGCGGGACTTCAACATCTATTTTTCAGCATTCCGACAAGGAAGATGTCTGTTATTCTAATTCCACATATTACAATATCTCAATTCCTCAAGCTAAGTAGCTTTTCAGGAGACCATGTAACTTTCTGTTTTCTTTTGAAAGTTATTTAATGTAAGAAAATATTAGATAGAAAAAAAATAGAGAAGGTATATAGTTTGGGTAAAACACGTATTCCATATTTAAAGAAAAGTGTGAACAAATTTGTTTGAGCCAATTAAGTTGAAATGTTGTAGTGTTGGATGATCATGATTCATGTGTTCTTTTTCTTCCATTTTTCCCACTAATTTATAAACACCTAAAATAATGACGAGGAGGACATATTAAAAACCAAACCAGTCTCAACTAAGGAAAATACTTATTCATTGATGAGACTAGACGCATAAAATAAAGGTTCAATGATAGAATGAAAAGAAGAAAACTTCTCATTCCTTAACAAAACCATAATTAGTATTAGACTCGGTTGATTTGCAAAAAAACAGAAGTTCACATCAAGTAGATGTTTTATATATATATTATGTACATCCTACGACAGTATCAAATGTTTTTTAAATTGAAGATATATTTTTCGAGTTGGTTAAGATTAATCCCCCCAAAACAGATATGTCAGTGGAAGAAGCCTGGATAATTTATTTCAAAAGGGTCCTCGACATTGTTGAAGTTGTTGTTGATGCGGCTTGGCTAGCTTACACCTCGGAGGTGTTGTTGTTAGACATGTTCCTTTATGATCTTTCCTTGTCTAGACCTTGGTGGAATTCTTGACACTCTGAACACGGGGATGAATTCTTTAAAAACTAATTGTTGTTGATCTAGGTGTTTCTTTATATATCTTTCAGAAGACTAGTCTTCTTATTTTTGGGACCCTTCTAGGGGACCTTGACGTGCTTCTGATTGCCAATTCTTCTTATATGTAGCAGTTGTCGTTGAAGCTCCTTTGTCTGGAGCATGGTGAAGCTCATTGCTAGCAGCAGCAACTTAGCCTCGTCGCTCCTTCAAAATTTTGAGTCGGTTTGTCAACTTTGTTAGTGTATTTAAAGGTCTTAGTTCCTATTGGGAATACAAAGGCATCACAACTACCATAAATAAAACTATTCTCAAGCACATGCAGAGGTAATGATCTTGATTTTTTATACAGGAAAAATGCACATGTAATTTTGTCCTCTGCACTCAAGTGGTGACGATAAATTGAAAATAAAAGGTGCCTTCATATTCCTAACTATATTAACCATATTCAAAAACTAACTATGAAAGGGACTTACATGTCCTTACCTCAGTTTTAGTATTGCTTGACTTTTTAAAACTAGTTGACCTAGTATTGCTGCTACTTTGTCCAAGGTTCATCTTCTTGTTTGAATTGGATTCCAGTTTTTTGTCTTTTGTGCTCTTAGTCCTATTCATCCGACCATCCTATTATACAATAAGAGATATTCTTAGAATAATAGTCTTGTAATGTAGAGGAAGCAACAATGAAAGTACCATAATATGAGTTTTTACCTTACTTGACGACTTTCCAATAGCAGAAGCTAGTGCGTTAGCAGCATCACCATTCTTTTGTCTATCCTTCCACCAAGCAAACTCAATTTCAAGTTCAATTATAGAACCCATTATTCTAAATGATATATTTTCTCCTTCAACTCTCTTTAGTAGGGGTGAAGAAACTATTATCAAAGAGCTAAATTTTGGAGACAAATTAGAGAAGAAATCATACAATTTCCCTTGATGAGCATTTTGTTGAGTTTGATCACCTAAAACATGAGTGATGGGCCCACCACAATTCTGTTCAGGTTTTTGAATGAGCTGGACACTCAAGTTGTCTACCTCCTTTCGCAAATTGATGATTTCGACATTTGCTTCACTTAATTCCTCTAGGTCCGCTTTTGTCTGCAGTTAAATATACTTTTTCGGGTAAACATGAGAAATCATGGTTAAGAGAAAAGATGAAAACGTGAGTAAGGTGGTAAGACCTTTTCGTCAATTTTGTTTGGAATATTAGATAGATCATCTGTTCGATTTAGACCCGAATCGAGAATTCTCTTCTTCTCCCTCTCCATTTGGAGTTGTTCTTGTAGTCTTGCAACCTTTTCACATATAGTTGCAATTAGTTATAAGTGATTTAGACATTAAAAGAAAATCCAAGCACAAATGAAGTATGAAAAAGATAAGGTATTGAAAGCAAGAAATGAGGTAGCAAAATCTCATATAACACATACATCTTGCTTTAGAGCTTTACGACGCTCACTCAAGAGCTTCTTTCTTTCTTGTAAGTTGGCTTCTAAAGCTGCATTGCCTTCAACCTACAAGTAATTAACATAACACACGAGTTACTAAAAAATATATATTACTTGCATTGGTGGATGAAAGACCTATGTTTCAAGTCTCTACCTCTTCAGCTATTTTTTTAATTAATGTAATTTTGGTTGCTTCCAGTTTTTGAATTTCGGCTCTGCAAAATATAAAACCCCAAAATGTCCATAACATAGGTTTAGGAGCCAAAAAAATTATTCATTATAGTCATCTAGATGGCAAAGAAAAAGATTCGATTGGTACCAATTATAAAATCCAAAAAATAGAAAATCAAAAGGTGCAGACATAGCTTTACAAAATTAAACACGAAAAATGAACACAAGCCAAAACAAAATAGCTCACAGTCACAAGAGTTTAACAAGGAAGATATTGTAAGTTTTTATGTGTAGGAAGAGTTTTGATGCTCTCATTCTAAAACCACTGAAGATGACCAATTTCATTATAAGTAATCTATTATTCTATTTAACTAGAACGTCAACAATTATCTTACTCCTGGTAATCAAATCTATGAGAGAGCATTAAAGCAAAATTTCGTAAGTTCAGTATCCGATACCATTGCATGTTTAATCTCTCTAAATTCTTTTAGGGTAAAAACACGCTCTCAAAATTAAGTTATGAGCAAGTAATAATTGACATAGAGATGCTATCAAATTTGAAATGGACAATACGAAAGGGAATTAACCGCATGGCCTCTTGATAAATGTGAAATACTTACTCTTCATCTTCCAATGTAAAATCAATAGACTCCATTGAAAGGTTCTTTTTAGCCTGAATTCAGTATAGAAAAATTAAATGCCAAGTTTGATTGTAACATATATGAAATTATAAACATATCTATTTCAATCAACAAATAACTTAATAATTTTTTATGTGTGTTCGTCATTTTCTATAAGTTGAGTAACAAGATATAATGTTTAACGAGATTTTCCAAGCAAAATATGAAGAATTATGTTTAGTATGGTTTTATAAAATTTTGTTGATAAATAATGAAAATTTTCTAGTAATAAAAAATTGTTTGTTGGGATGATAATGTTTTGCATCATAATAAGGAAATGAATGTGTTTTAGAAAATGACATTTACAAGAATAACTTTGAGAAAACTATGTACTTGTTTAAAGGGAACAAAGTTGAATAAGATATTCTCTTAAAAATACAATCACGTTATTTTTAACAAATTTAGGGTTCATCTAGTATGTAAATATTTATATATAAGAAGATGTTTGTTTTATTTTTCCGACATAAACTTTAAGAACCACATTACTTTTTGTAACAAACATACACATAAAGTCAAATATTACGTATGCAATGGTAAGTTTGAAGAGCAATAGGTGGTGCCTGAAAAAGGATACACTCACCGAGGTACGTCCCCAACCCAATCGTCGTTCATGCCTACCGGCTATACTTGAAGATTTTCTCATGCGAGGAGTTGAAGCGTTAGATTCAACTCTTGCAAGTTCAGCAGAATGTGATAAATCCTTTTTACTTTTTCCGTGACCCTGATCTTGCCATTCCTTGTCATTTTGTGGCAATGAATTTTGATCAGAACTGGGCTGTACATTTTTAAGGTTATCATCAATCTCAGAGGACCTTAAATGACTGCTAAAATTTCCCGAACCCTGCATCTTTGAGGTAGTTAGTTAAGTTCAGAATCTTTCCTAGATAGTGATGACAAATAAATGAGAACAATCACGGTAGAAGGAATACAATGTTCAGGCATATATATAAATGTATGTTCTAAAAGAAATGTATAGAAGACTTGCCTTGGTATCTATCGGATCTTCTTCACTAGAAATATGACTCCCAGTACAACTTCCAATTGATCCATTTTCAATTTCTTCATCTGAATATTCCTCAGACCCTAGTGATCCTTCATCAATCTCATCTTCTTCTTCATCTTCATATTCATCTTCATCTTCATAAGACTCATCATCATCAGTTAACTCCTCATCCTCACTCTCACCTTCCTCCGAATCAGAGTATAATCCAGGTGACATAGTACCATCCTGCATAGAAGATGTCACCCTTGTAAAGGAAGCCCACACTTAGAATTGCCTGAAAAATATGAATTCCTGAATCTTCTTTATTGGGTCATTGACAGGAGGCATATGAAATGCATTGCTACTGCATTTATGATTCATTAAGTCGAAGTTGGATTTTTTTTTATGTATATTCAAGGTAAAAATATGTGAAATATAGAGTTTGAAAATTATACTAAAAATGGCTCATGGTTCAACTTGTACTTTGAACAGATGGAAGCATGTAATATCATGGATGGCCAAATATTTTGATGAGCCCAAAGTTAATTGTGTCAAATAATGAGCAATTAAGAAATAAAAAAAATGCATTGAATCTTACACTGAATATTGTATCATACTCTTCCAGTAAGGTTATAACAATGGCTTGAGCATGATTAGCAGCAGCTGCTGCTTGGAGAAGTTGCATGGAGCCATCTCCACCCACATCAAAGTCATTTTCTATCTCACAATCACCTGACAAAAGAGGACGGAGTAGTAACGGTGCCATGCAAGCAGCCACAGCCGAATTGCTCATTCTGTTTTTCTCTTTGTGAGCGGCCACTTGTTGCATCATCAAAAGAATTCTAGACCGAAAAAAGACAAGTCAAGTTTATAATGAGTTGGGGAAATATTAAGATTATACAAAAAAGCACATCAACCACAAGTTATTGATAATCATGCATTTGTATCTTATGGTTTCAAAACTCCTAGTCACAACAATCTATTTTTTCTTCCAAATTATTTAGATTTTAAGACCAATGCAATCGATAATGCATTGGTTCTAACTATACTCATCGTTGTTGAATGAACTTAGCTAAATATGGGTAAGCATATAAAAGGAACTATTTGAGGTATCCTAACTATTATGATGTATACAAATCCATGAAAATATAAACTGAAATATTTAATAACCTAACATTAGGGGCTAAGGTAATGCTTTTTAATACTTTATCTTCAACAAAAAAAGGAAAAACCATGTTTATTCTCTTTTTTATATCTAAATAATTATTTACTAATTGATACTATCACTCCTCGATGACATGGACATGACACTTAGGGAAAACAAATATACACTTATTAAACACAAAAAGCATTAAGATATATCTATGTACCTTTGCAACAAGCGGCGATTTGGCTCGGGAAATGTTTCCATTATTGCTGTTCTCATGGAAGAGACTCTATTTCCTTTATCGGATCCTAAGCAAAGTGACCTCGTCAAACCATATACAAAGTTGAGATAATGGACAAAAGCACTAAAGTAGCTAACAAGTATAACAAAAATGTCAGGGTGATAGAAGAAACATAACTAATTCGGTAAGAACCTTACTATCATATTACTCAAGGACCTATGAGTCTATGACTACATATAATTTCAAAGTAATAATTTGAGTAGCTAACGTAACAATTGAAGCAAATATGTTTTACCATTAGATTATTCGCAGTATGATATTGGTTACAATTGAAAAGGTATTATAAATAAAATTTTCAAATTTAGACATAAGTAGCAAACCATTTTAAAATTTCTTTTAATTACCTCTCATGAGAAAAATATTTCACAAAAAAAGGTATCGTGTAGTACGAAATAACATAAAAATAAACTGCATTTATAAACATAAAAAAATATAGTCAAATTGTTTCAATCGACTGATTTAAGTCGGCGTAGATATGAGAAAAGGATGGGAGCCCTATCTTCGCAAGTATGAAGAGGTATATACCTTTATTTATTGTTATTAAATAGTTTTTAAAAAAAAAATATATATTTATCCCCAAAAATCGAGGAATAAGTCTTTATTTTTATTTGATTTCATTTTATCAGATTTTAGAATTTGAACAAAAATGTGAATACCACACTCATCCCATATTTTTATGTGAATTACTCGTGATTCACTCAGTTTCTCAAAGAAACTATGTTTATTTTAAGCATTATCCAATCACGAGCATAAATAATTTCAAAACACACCAATTTTGACACAAGTTATTGACTTTGGTATTTGATTCAAAAAGAAAATAACCATGAAACATCTAAATTTTCTCATGATCATGCAAACCAAGGAGATGGGTTGTCGAATAGTTTATTCAGCTTGGGCGCTTGGGTTCCATTCTGACCAAAATGATTCTAATTTAATAGCTAATTTTAAAGAACTTATTTGCAGAAAAAATGAGACAATCGTATATCTTTATCAACGAGATTGTGTTGACTTCAACATTGGATGATAAACCACATAAAAATTTAAGAGTGAGCGGATTGTCTAAAGGATTGTGCAAGACTTTGTAGATCACTTATTAATGATAGGAAAAGAGGGATGTACTTTGGTATAGGTCATTGATATCCTAAGATTGAACGAAATACAAATCACAGGTTCCAATGTGTTAGACTAGACCTAATCAAATCCACTTAACATCATCCAGGTTATCAACTGACTTGTCCACATATTTCCATTAATAAAGTAAACCTAATGAACAAAGTTGCTAATTACATGTCAAGTGAATATAATTTTTATAGTGTTGAAAAATTTAGCAATGAATAACGAATAAAAGAAAGAGGTCTAAGGACTGGAAACTAGAAAAATACAGTAGTGATACTTACTACACGCATTTAATAAAGCATGACAGCAAGATGTAGGTACTGGAGAAGATGGCAGTTCCCGTAGAAAGTACTGTTAAGAGATAATAGAGCAAATAGAATAGTTACATATAAGGTGGTTATGAGATCAGTCACTAGTATTTGTTTGGAAGAACAAACCTTAATACAATCACCAATTACGTGTGCATCTTCCCCAGGGGAGAACTCTATCTTCCCTAAACAATGAAGAATGGCGCAAAATCATTAATTCATCAAAAAATATCTTAGTACCTTTACAAATGGAAGATTGAATGATTAATCAATTGTAAAATATAAGCAAAGAAAGGTTCTTAAGATGCAGGTTTCAAAAGCTATGAAAAGAAAAGATACAATAAGTTACAAGTTCTTTTGACATATTTAACATAGGAACAAAATATAGTCACTTATTGAAAGTTAAACAAAACTTTATTAAAAAAGAAAGGTATATAGAAGTAGAGGCTGAAAGAAAGACTAGTTCCATAGAGTTATGTAAAGTATCATTTGACTTCGACTATTACACCGACTTTTACTTTGGATATCACCTATTCTCTATGAAATTTGGTACAACCCCAGATATGAAATTATAAGTAAGGGAGCACAGCACAAAGAGCATGAAGCAATAGAAAGTAGCTTAGTATGGGAAAGAGTATCAAGCATAGCGAGTAGCTCACGCTCGGTTTGTTAATATATAATATTTGAAATAACAGACCTTGTTCATACTCTCGAATACGATGCTCAACGTCATCAACATCTGCAGCTTGTCGTAAGATGCCTTCCACCTTAACCCCTGTTTGTGATTTTTTTAGTTGATAAGTCTAAGATAATAAAGGAGTGAAAAAAGACCAATATATTGCAAGTCTTTCTATTGGTAATGGAAGAAATCTCAAGAAAGACGAAAATTTAAGATAGATTGGAAAAAATCATATTCAAGAGAGATACAATTATTTGCATTACCTTACAATTGCTTATTACATTGCCTATAACTAACAAGCAAGTAAAAATTGCTAGTTGAACTATAGTAGTACAAATACATATTTATTAAGGATAAAACTAACAATATTAGGCACTTCTGATAGTAGTATGATATCCCAACTCTTAGATATAATAATAAATATTTGATACAGTAAAAATAGATAACTAACCATGATCTTCTATAAATTTGAGAGCCTTCTCGAGAAAAGATGGAGATCCATCAACATCTTCCAAAGCAAGCAAAATTGGTCTGCCAAGCACCAAAGACGCTGGTGGTGGCTTTTCATTAACTACAGCTGAAAAGAAGAATTAAAATAACAATATTACAACTTACAATCTCAAACACTAACCTTTTGCTCAAATGTAACATTGTTAACTTAATTCAATAACAAATATGCATATAAGATATTCTAAAAAGTGTGGAGCCAAGTAAAGTAGATTCTCTTAATATGGTTTCAGCTAATCAAAAGAACATACCAAAGGTCACTACAAGAGTAGCATAACTAAATGGAACACTAATGCTTTATTTGTGCATGTAATCATAATGTTTCTTCTCAATTTGACTTTCATAATAAATTGGAGAGGATCTAATATATCATTTCAAACATAAGACTTAGGTGAACGTACTCTTTTCGACTTTTGCCTCAGGCACTTCGGGTTGATCATTCTTGATGACACCATTTTGTGACATCATAGTTGCGGAACATGGTGCTTGTGATAAAGCACTCTCAAGTGCAACTTTCCATTCGTACAAATCTTCTGACGTCTCAGCCTACAACAACATACATGGATAATCAGATTTGCATATAATAGCAACTGAGAATAAACGACTTCCACCAAGTCAACATATGTCCATTTTACTCAAGGATAATTCTAACAACCATGTTTCGTCATGTAACCAGACTTTCTTTCCTAAGATATGAGATATAAAGCTACTGTCTTTTCTTTCTTGACCTATTAGATAAGGGTTTCATCATTTTCCTTGTTGGCAACATAGTCTCTATTGCACCTTAATGCCTTAATCTTACTGCCAACTACCAAGACTATTCATAATTTCGATGTCAAGTACAAATTTACTATCGTTATAATTATTATAGTCATTTTTCTTTAGAATAGTCTCAACAAGACAAATAACATAAGGATTTTGTATAAGTTCCTTATGTAGACTTGCACGCATATAAAATACAAACCGAGATTTATCCCTTTTCATAAATAAAAATACTATTTTAAAAAAGACTATACAAAACATTACAACACAATTAGATCTCAACTTTCTAGGCATTGATACTTTCTAAAGTGTAATTTGGTTGTTCAATTATAAGAGTTGATATGATGCATAATAGTTTGACCTTAAAACATAAAAGGGTTTCCCATGTCCTTGGGGTGAAATTGTAGGTGATATTGCCAGTCAACTTTGTCCTAATGAAAAACTTTAGTAGATTACCTAAATGGCTACAAAAAGCTTTTGAAATATTGGATGTCCGCATCATGCAATGGTTAATGGACAAATATCCAATCTAGGTTTGTAACAATATATTGATATTTTTAAAAATGTTGCTCATAATATAATATGAAAATTTCAAATGATCATCTCATATCGACATAAATCACTCAAGTGTATATTGATATAGCAACAAACACCATGATACTTTTTAGGTTCATGAACTTAGACACATTCTAAATTCATCAAAATAAGAAATTAGGCTCAAAATAAGCTTTGTTTCTTAAGATGAGGTAACCATAAGTTCAAAACAAAAGCCGTGAGATTGACCACAAGGAAAGTAAATGTTGTTAGCATATATGCATGATTATTCTATAAGGTTCATTCTTTCTTTCTGATGGAGTGGAATTTCAACACAAAATGTAAACCTAAGAGGCCATATGTTCTCATCCACATTTATCAAGAACCAATCCCTTGTGCATGTTTTTAATGGTTGGCTCGTTATCAATTCGCATAAGAACAAAACATCTCTTTATCATCTAATTGCATGAAGAAAGTTGAAAATGACCATATGATACAAAGAATTACCTTGAGAGTGAATGCTCGACCATCACGACCATCTGGAAAGAGAACTGTCAGGAGCTTTTTGTCAGCCTTGACAACCACACTACATAATTTCCCAATAACATAACTCAAAAGAGTTATCCTAGTAGTTCCATGTAAGATCACACACTGCAAGGTTTTTGAAGTTAGCAATAAATAATTAAAGATAGCAATCCAACCTTCCTGAATTGTTGAGATCAATACCACCAAGGGTTAAGTTCACTTCACTTCCTTTTTGAGCAACAACACTCTTTGCACAAGACAAAGCAAAGAAACCAAAACAAAAATTCACCCAACATGCACATATAATAGTAATTTTTATTATTATTATGGTTAATCCAAAATAGTGTAGAAGTGAAATGTATGTCAATCAAAATGTGAATCATGATGCTACTCACTGGATCACTTCTGAAGAAAACTAATGAAGTTTTTGTCAAAATAAACCATCTTTTCTTCCAAGATGTCCATCCAATTCCTACATTAAGAATATAGATAATTTTTAATAATAACCATGTCAAAGGTAGATGAAAAACCAAAAGATTTAACCTCAAACAAAATCAAGGCCTTTATGTTACTCAACCTAGTTATACATATAGAAGGGGAATTCCTAAAACTAAAATCACAAGGATAATATGCAATTGATTCTCTCAAAAAACTAAATTTGATTATGGTTATAAGAAAATAGAGAAAATTAAAGGAACATGTAATCAGACTATCCAACAAGTAAAAGGATTGGATGGATGACACCTAAATAATATCTCAAAGAAGAAACAATAAAGTAGGTTAAGAGAAGAGATATTCAATGATATTTTGTGATTTAACTCAACATAATGAGATATATGATAATAGAAAATAGAAACTCACCTTTAGATGAAATGAAAAGAGGCCCGCTCTTAAGGATCTGCATAAGAAAGTTACAGTTTGAGTAATACTAAAAATCAAATATTGAAATAGGCTATAAAGAAAAACTTCGACTCTAGAGTTACCGGATTGGTTTCGCGAGAAGTCTGATTGTCATTTTTTCCTCCTCCCGCTCCTCCTCCAGCTGATGATAGTGATGGTGGAGCAGCAACACCACCGTCTCCTTGCTAAAAAAATTTCCAACAAAAAAGTGAAATAATTAATCATTAATTCAAAAGATTAGCATGCAAAAAGTAAATGTGTGCTGAACTTTTTCACATTCGATTGCATTGCATTGCAGATGTTTAGTAGTGGAAACGAGACAATTGTACAATACCTGAGATGGCTGAGAAAATTCTGTGGCGCTTTTGTTGGTCGTCATCTCGAAATTCTTTTAATAACAAAATAGTTAAAAGATTGCATTTCAATCAACAATCAAAATGCCATTGTTTTCATTTTCCTTCTGCAACCACCATTGTCAAAGAAAACAAAACAAATTACCCCACAATGGAGAAAATGGATGAAAATTAAAATGAAAGAATTACCATATTGCATATCCTATGGAGCAATGAGTAAAAAGGAAGGAGACGCGAAGATGGATTTATGCAACACAGAAGGACAGATTTGTTTGCTTTCTATAGTTTTTTCTTGTTCTTTTTTGTTTTTATTTTATGTAATCAAAAAGTTTTCGCTTCACTCAGAAATGGAATATGTTGAGTCTGATTTTCTGTTTTGTATTGTGCGCTTCATGGAACCCGTTGTCGAAGAAAGGTGATAAAAAGATGAAGTAGAAGAAAGCGAAATAACTGGAGGAACGCGTCAGCTGTGCATGTCAACCGTGCTCTCCGGACGGACCATATGAGAATGAAATGAAAATGGAGGAAATGAGAATATAGTATTGGTTATGGGCTTTCGCCTGCCTTAGATGATTTAACAATTGATATTTTCCAGACGAGAAAGGATTTTAGAATTTTTTTTCTTTTTTCGCAATTACATTCTACAAGTCATTTTTTCATTTCTCATTCTATTTATTACTAGCATAATGTTATGATATATTGTATATAAGAATATATTCATGATAGTCTCACTATACCATAGAGAGAGAAAATATTAAGGATGCTCAAACGAAATAGAGAGACGTTCAATACACATATTCTAGAAGGAGCGGGTGTACCAAATTATCTTGAATAGAAAGTGCATTGATGTTAAATGAAATATGGGAGAGAGATAGATAATGCGGAAGGGGTCTTACTTATAGGCACTGCTAACCCTTGGTGTCTTCTTCGAAGATAGTTGGAAGGAGCACTAATTTACATGAGGATTGTGAAATGTGGTTACATGTAATACCCATCTTGACTCCCTATCATCACTCCACACTAAAAAACATCTTCTTCATTCCTCTTCATTATAATTTTATTTGATTTATGCTCCTCTTTACTTCTATTTGCATATGTTTCTTCTCTCATTTCACCCCACTTTGCTTCCACATTTATTTCCATCCTTCCTCACCTTTTACATAATTTTATTGTACGTGATTCTTTTGTGCCCTCGATCACGAAGACATTATTGAACTTGATATGGGTTATCTTTTCTTAGGTAACAACCTAATTATGTTGAGTTCCCGAATGAAACTTCAAGCACATTGCCACGTGCAAACGTAAGTCTTACGTACCCGATGCGAGTAGGGATGATAATTTTGACTAACCTATTTTATCCGAACTATTTGACCTTTTTTGGGTTAGGTCATACTCTTCCCATATACGAGGTGAGCATGTGTACTCTCCTCTACCTGACATGCCTCGACCTGCCCTATTCCTGACCCGTTTTTGCTTAAAGTTTTCACGACATTTTAAAGCCCTTTATAGAAGCACTTCTATTCGTAATGCTTTTGAGCATGTACATGGATTTTACTCAAATTATTTAGGATTTTACTTTCATTATCTCATATTTTAGTTATAATAAAATTGTAAATAGATGAGAACCTCATTTTCTCGAATCATTAACTATATTTATCTTGTTATAATTTGTTTCTGGATTTTTCAACACTTGCTAACTCACCAACACTTGCTACATATACGTGACACGTCAGATTTTATTTAAAAATATTTTATTAATTTATTAACAAAAAAATTATTAAAAACTAAAATTAAATTAACTAATGAAAATAAAAAAAAATAATAATGAGTTTTTCGGAAATCTTTTACTTGTATTAAGCTAACAAAAATTACAAAACTAAAATTTAAAATATCATCTCTTTTCACCTTCCTCTCCGAGACCCTTCCCCTCCCCCAACTTGCCGCCTCTAACTAAATCCCTAAACACCTCCGCCCATTGCCAACATTTAACTGGAATTTCTTCTTCATATTTGTTGAGCTTAAGGGCTATGAAGCCCCCAGAGGAATGTTGAACCTGAATCCCATCCCAGTTCGACATCGTCTCAGCGAGCTGATGGTTATTCACTAGCGACGAGGAGGGATAGTGGTAAAGCAGCGGTCAGATTTCGAAGGGGAAATGCGACGACGAGGGAAGAAAACCTAGATTCAGGTGACCATTGTGACTGCTTTTTCTTCTAGATCTGGTCCTTTGCTCGCCGGCCGCATCTCGTCAAAGTTGTGTTGGAGAGCCTCCCACCAGCGAAATTGAAAAGAGCTCATCAAGCTTCACGATGACGCTGGAGATCTAATGGGGATCATTGTGGATTAATGGCGGCCGGTTCTGCGGGAGATTATGGTTGGCGATTTTATAGATTGGAGAGGGAAGGGGAAGGGTCTTCGCGGAAGACGGCGGGGAGCAAGAGTTGTCGCTGGGGGAGAGTGAGTGAAGGGGAAAGAAGAGAGAGAAAATAAAAAGCGTTTAGTGTGTTTTTACGGAAGGAAGGGGTTGGATTTATTAAATTTGTTTTTCTTTATTTTTTATTTCATTTTTTTATTAATCTACGTGTCCTTGATGCAATATTGCCAAATGTATTTCCGTTTGTCTAGTCAGCTCGTTAGATGACACCGTCAAAGTATTGGACGGAAATGGCTATAAGTGGTATTTCTTCAAAATTGGCTATTATTGTCACAAACACGAAAGTTTTGGCTATACAAGTCTATTTTGCCATGTTATTAACAAGATCAAGTTGCTCCTCCGCCCTCGTGACAATCTCTTTGAATCTTGACTTGAGATGGGGAAGGTTGTGGTTTGCCAAAATGGGACATGATTTCTCATTATCATCACAAGAAATCTTTTTAACAATTCCATTTGTTCCACAATGTCTTTATTTCTAACTCTTCATCCTCCTCTTTTTGTGCAATAGCTAAAAGGCCAAAGCACCAATTTGGGCAAGAGTCTATCATGTACAGGTTTTGCCCTGTTTTCTGTGTATGAGCCCAATACAAACCAGGGGCAAGACAAACAAACTCAAACTTAAGAGAATTTTCCAAGGTTGTATAGGAGTGGTACTTCCAATTCTTCTCAATCCAAGTCACCTCCTCCACATAAGAAGAGAGGTTCTAAGAGTAAGCAACTTACTGCCCTCTACCTTAACCCACACTTCGACCAGGTAATAACACCTAAATTGGTGTTATTTAGCCTTCCATTTCTTAGGTGTTTGCATACCATAATCATCATCTTTGGCCATTTGACATTTACTTTGTCCTTTAATTACCTCATATTATTATACTTTTAGATTTAGCACGACTTTTATCATCACTTGGACATTTGGCTTGAAACTTGGTCATTTTCATCCTTTCTAGGCTATGTTGTGTTTTCTTACTTAATCTCGAGTTCGTGTGTGATGAAGAAGAGGTACCCAAAGTTGCATGCTAATCGAAGGTCGTTTGAAGAGTGAAAAGAAGGGAGAAAATAGGACCTTAGAAAGGTCACGACCAACTCAAGGTCGTGAGAATCAGACCATGACATTGTTCACATCCACGATCTTCATGGTTGTGACGTAAACTTGAGGAGGCAATGCCAAAATGGACTAAACTCAACTTGAGTCATAGTCAAGTAGGATTTCAACTACAAAAAAGATCATGATCGCGACTTCAAGATCACGACTGTTATCTCCAATTCAAGACCGCGATCCTGGTGCTTGAAGACGAAGTCAAGGCATGAAGCTCTCAATACCCGATGGTGTTTTTCAGGTCATGGCTAGGTCACGCCATTGATGTGGTCGCGATGTGTCTTCTACTCATCGTTTCATCCTTTACGCGTCGTTCCATCAAGAGTTAAGGTATGGAGGTCGCGACGACCCTTGGGTCATGCGTAGAATTCGTGACCTGCCCTAATTTTCATAGAGATAGAAAACATAGATTTAGTAAACTACCTCTCCCGTTGGTCAATCTATTTCATATCCTTAATAAATAAGCAAAGATCGGTTTTACTATGATATGGGAAATGTACCACGGAGTCCCGCTTTCATCTATTCTAGCGCCATTTCACCAGCGTCTTGCGCAGAATGAAGAAGAAAGACATGTCTTCTTTATATTTCTTTATATAGTTAGACTGACAATCGCAACTCTCTCTATTTTGATTGATCGGTGCATCGGGGTGCACTGGTTGAAGCGGAAGGCCAGCGTTTAACCATAAACGATATATACCCTGGGTTACCCATCCTCCACCCGCTTTTTTGCATGTTAGCGCCTCTCTATAGTGCCCATTGATCAAAGTCCTAAGCTTTGACTTGACGTCATCCTCACCTTCCTCCGGCTTATCACCGGCAGTCTGCTCAGGGTTCGATTTTCTACGTGCGAAGAGGGACTAGTTCCTATGGAGATCCCATTGGTCTAGTTCTACGCCTTATGATGAAAAGGGAGTCGGTGTGGCGTAAAGTGAAGATTGAGGGAAGGAGAGAAAAATTCCCTTTTGGGGTATGCCAAAGGTGAGATGTAGAGTGAGAGTGATAAGTTTGGAGGGGTTTTGGTTGATTTCTTCTTCATCTTAATGCAAAATTCTCTCAAAATTGATTAAGGATGGTCAAGCCAAGAAGGACAAGATGGATCAAGCTCATGATTGGCGTTCTTCCTCCTCCTTTACACTCTTTCTCTCTCTATGTTCTAGTCCTCTTGTTTAGGAAGACGAACCTTAGCTTATAGATTGTGTATGGGTCATATGTAAGAATGATTTTTAACCTATCTATATATGTATATTAGATGCTTTATCATGCCAATATCTTGATTTAGTAAAAATGATTACCTATTTAGGTTAAGATTAGAACATACATCCAATAGAGTGGGATTTAGATTGCATGACCATTGAGTGAAAGTCCCATTTTCCTTTGGGATTGTTCCAATTGGAGGAATCTAGGTTTAGTGCTCTAGGTAATTTGTTGGTTGCATGACCATTGAACCAAAAAGTTACCTAGAAGTGTATATAATTGCATGATCATTGACTTAGGTGCTAGCTTGAGT